CATAATGCTCTCCAGGTCCATCTATGTTGCTGCAAAAGTTAAGAATTCCTTCTTTTTTTTTTTATAGCAGCATAGTATTCAATTGTGTAGATATACCATAGTTTTCTAATCCACTCGTCTGCTGATGAGCATTTAGATTGCTTCCAAATCTTAGCTATGGTGAATTGTGCTGCTATAAACATAGGAATACATATACCCTTTCTGATTGGTGTTTCTAGTTTCTTGGGATATATTCCTAGAAGTGGGATTACTGGGTCAAATGGGAGTTCCATTTTTAGTTTTTTGAGAAAACTCCATACTGTTCTCCACAGTGGCTGTACAAGTCTGCATTCCCACCAGCAATGCATGAGGGTTCTTTTTTCTCCACATTCTTGCCAGCACTTGTTTATTGATTTACTGATGATGGCCATTCTGACAGGTGTGAGATGATATTGCATTGTGGTTTTGATTTGCATCTCTCAGATAATTAGTGACTTTGAGCATGTTTTTATATGTCTCTTGGCCTTACTTTTGTCTTCTTTAGAAAAGATTCTATTTTTGTCTGTTGCCCATTTTTTATTGGATCAGCCATCTTTCTTCTATTAAGTTGTAGTAATTCCCTGTAGATGTTGGAGATTAAACCTTAATCAGTGATAACAATTGCAAATATGTCCTCACATACAGTAGGTTTTCTTGTTGTTTTGTTGATAGTTTCTTTTGCTGTGTAAAATATTTTATTTTGATGTAGTCTTATTTATTTATTTATTTATTTATTTATTTTCTCTTTAGTTTCCATTGCCCTAGGAGTGGTATCGGTCAAGAAATAGCTTTGGCATATGTCTGAGATTTCTCTGCCTGTGGATTCCTCTAATATTTTTATGGTTTTCTGTCTTATGTTTAAGTCATGTAACCATTTTGAGTTTATTTTTGTTATGATGTAAGTTGATGGTCTAGTTTCATTTTTTTGCATATATATGTCCTATTTTCCCAACACCCTTTATTGAAGAGACTGTCTTGACTCCATCGTATGTTCATGCCTCCTTTGTCAAATATTAATTGAGCATAGTGGTTTGGGTCAATATTTGTGTTCTCTATTCTACTCCATTGGTCTGTATGCCTGTTCTTGTGTCAGTACCAGGCTGTTTTGAGAACAGTGGCCTTGTAATACAGCTTGAAATCTGGTATTGAAATCCCACCTAATTTATTCTTCTTTCTCAGGATTGCTGTGGCTACTCGGAATCTTTTTTAATTCCAGATGAATTTTTGGAGAGTTCTTTCTAGGTCTGTGAAATATGCCATTGGTATTTTAATGGGGAGTACATTGAATCTATAGATTGCTTTGGGTAGTATAGACATTTTAATAATGTTGATTCTACCAATCCATGAACATGGAATGTTCTTCCATCTGTTTACATCTTCCTCTATCTCTTTTTCAGTGTCCTATAGTTTTCTACGTATAGGTCTTTTACCTCCTTAGTTAAGTTTATTCTTAGGGATCTTAATGTGTAGTAAATCATAAAAAAATAAAAACATTTCTAAATGCTTTTAGAGCAAAAAGGCAAGCAAATTCACAATTACCTTCATTCCTTTTATATGGAGCAGTGTAATATATCTGTTTTTAATGTTTCTTTTAGTTGTCCCTTTTATTCTCTCAAACATACCAAATTTCTGGTAGATATACATTAATGATATAATGAAATAAATTAAGATAACACATTAGTTTTTGTATCATTAAAGTTTTCATCAGAAAAACATATCCAATGTGTGTGTGTGTGTGTGTGTGTGTGTGTGTATGTGTGTGTGTTGTATCTGATATGTGGAGATTTAAAACACAAACAAAAGAAAAATAGAAATTGTTCCAAGGGAGTAGGTTACAAATATACTTTCCCTAACTTTTTAACAAAAGCCTCTACCTTCACCTTGTATTCTGGTCTGAACAAACAGAAGAGAAGAGCTTGAATGAGTGAATTCCTAGGGAACACAGGAGGTCCCTAGATGACTCTAGCCATAAGCTCAGAGCCACCCACCAAACTCCCATGTGGACCTGTGAGATAGGTTTCATTAGTATAATAACTCTTGTCTCAGCATTCAGATAGTTGAACATGGGAGACTTGTAGTGCTCTTTTTATCCTCTGGGTGAGATGATAAGCATACACAGCTCCATAAAGAAGTTGGTGTGTATGAAGGTTGGGATTCCTTATAAGTTACAGGAACTGTAAGTAATGTTCACTTGCATTAATCAAATTAGGAAGTAAATCTAGTCCAGTGATTTGTGGTAATCTGTGCTCAGTTCAGTTTCAAAAAAAAAAAAAAAAAAAAAAAAAAAAGCATAGAAACAGAAACCTAAAGAGCAGGAAGGAGCCTCAGTGAACAATCAAATTAAGCCTCCTGGCTTTGGGTGAGTGAATTTGTGAGATGATTGAAAATTGTAGGAATGTCTGGTATACACATAGTGATTGGGGTGGTGTAGTGAGCATGGCTTTTCTGGTTCTTCCTCTGACTTGCTCCATTCTCTCTTGAGCTATCCAGTTGAGCATAGGTAGGACAACATTAGCTCAGAAAACAAACCTATGTCATAAAAACCAGAACTGAGTGCATCTAGTTTGACTGAGAGCAGACAAGGAAGCTATTTTCCTATCTCCATTAATGATTGTTAGGTGACCCTAGTAGACATATAGAAAAAATAAAATAAAAAGAATCTTGATTTTATCAGCACGTATGCTCTACAATGGAACAATTTCATTATATACATGTGCAAGCTAAGAATAGACTCTAGTTGGCTAAGGAAACTGCGTGAGGATTCTGTATGAGATATGAGGTCACTTTCCTATTAAAATGAGGCAATGACATTTATTGAACACCTTCAAAGGTTCTCAATGAAATAAAAGGTTCTTTTGATTTCAACAACCAGAGTATTATTATTATTACCATATTACCATATAGGTCAGAAAACTATAGGATCTTACAGTAAAATTAACTTGTCCAAGGCATCACTGTCACCAAGACAAACACAAACATCTGTTCCCAGTTTTATAGATTCCAATGGCTACAGTCTTTTTTACCACCACACATTCCTGCTTTAAAAATTCCAAGATCCTATGCCTCCAAAATGTTTTGCCTATTCAAAGACTATGCTTAAAGCAAGCATGAAATCTGTAGTATACTTTTATATGAATATTAGGTGGTCTCAAGAGCTTAAATCACATCAATAATAGTCACATTTTTGGACAAGTTTAAACTTAACTTTGATGTGTTTCTCCTTAGGGAAGATAGGACCCTGGGTCAAATTGATTAGAACCTTAGATCTTTGCTATATCTGCCCTCACAGATATACACTCACAGAATAGTATATCCAACAAGACTCTTCATACACACCTACTGGTACATACACACCTTGAGCTGTGATTAGAATAACATTTGTCACCAATCTGCTCTCCTTCTATTAGTCCCTATGTCTATGAAGACAAAACAATAATAAATTTTGTTTACCTGCATGATTGGGCTATCAAGTGTTGTTTTGATTTTAAACCCAACTACACAATAATGAATAATCTGCTGTTAAGTCAAAAATTAAAGGAACTTCTTTGGTTTTCTTTCCAGTGACTATCATACTCAGTGCCTGGACTATTGAGAGATAGGAGAGTCTCTTTTCACCTGACATATATGTACCTGCAATAAGGAAGAGTTGTGGTAGAGTTGATTCATCTTTGATAACTATTTCTCACTCCTCAAATTTCCAGAACCTGTGGCTTTTTGTTTTTGTTTTTTGTAATGATTATTGAAGAACTGGTTACCCAGCTTTGAGAATAAAGCAACTTATTAAGAAGGTTCACATTAAATGTTTGTGGTTGAATAAATGAATATGAATTTCTAGGCAGTAAAGTTCATTCCCATTTTGAAAACTTCCAATAAAAGTGATTTATCACATATTATCTTAATGAATAGACCTTTGTTTCTATCCTATTACTATCATGATTTCCCATGTTCCACAGAATTACTTTGGGTTTAAGTACTCCTTGCTCTGAACTGGGTCCTTCTAGAGTGGAGGCAAGGGAAAGGTAGGATAAATGAGGTAGTTGCATACGATTTTTTCCACAGGGAGAGATGAGTCATCACTGTCCAGCCATGAGTTAAGATAGAATTAGCAACTCACTTCCTGACATTGTGAAAAGTCCAGATTAAAAAGGATTTGGCTATATCTTATCTATGAAATCACCAAGAACCACAGATAGAGTGTGAATAAAGGTGTAATGCAGAAGTGGACTGTGAAAGACTGGAAGTGTCTGTTTTAGAAGTAGAACCCGGTTTCAGGATTAACTCCAAGTCTTAGGAAGTGGTAACTGGATATTTGAGGGTACATAAAGCATGTTCTGGAATTTCAAATGAACGTTCATTGGGGATATTGGTATTATTTCTTGGTTACTGAAAACAGGGGAATTATGTTAATCTTATGATCAGAAATAATTACCAAGCACTAGGTCACAAACTGGAATCCATCCTAAGTTCAAAAACTAAACAAAATGATGTCTACCTTCATTCAGGAAACTGTTGTAGTTTGGGTTCTGCCTAATCTCTCCCCATACTCCAGAAAAGAAAGGTGAGAAAGGGGATAGGGGAGAGAAAGAGAGTGAGAAAAAGAGGTCTAGTACTTTTTAGGGCAATAGGTTTTAGCTAGAAAACAATTCTAATTAATTTAAGTGTTTATTTGAGCCCTGTCTCACATTCATTAATTTTATTCAACAAGTATGATATATCAGGCATGATACAAAGCTCTTTACAAATATTAACCCATATAATTTTCTTAACAATCCTACGGGTTGTACTACTATATTAATCACATTTGATAGATGATAAAGCTTGCCTAACACTGTATAGCTAATAAGTATTACTCTAGTCTCACTGATACCCCTGTTCTGTGTTGTCTCTTCAGGTAATGTGACACAGTGTGTGAGTTTCTGACCAGATAAGATGTTCAGAACTCTTGGCTATCTCCTTTATTGCAGGAGCTGTTTTTTGCTTCTCATCTCATCCAGACCATGGAGTCTCATAATCACACTAATCTGGACACTTCTCTTTTCTTCCTCCTGGGCATCCCAGGAATGGAACAGTTCCACCTGTGGCTCTCACTCCCTGTGTGCTGCCTGGGCACTGCTACAATTGTGGGCAACATAACCATCCTGGTTGTTGTTGCCACCGAACCAGCCCTGCACAAGCCTGTTTACCTGTTCCTGTGCATGCTCTCCACCATTGACTTGGCTGCCTCCTTTTCCACAGTTCCCAAGCTCCTGGCCATCCTCTGGTGTGGAGCTGGACATATCTCTGCCTCTGCCTGCCTGGCACAGATGTTCTTCATTCATGCCTTCTGCATGATGGAGTCCACCGTGCTGCTGGCCATGGCCTTTGACCGCTATGTGGCCATTTGCTACCCACTCCGCTATGCCACTATCCTTACTGACACCATCGTTCTTCGAATTGGATTGGTAGCTATGGTGCGGGGCTCCATACTCATGCTCCCATGTCCCTTCCTCATTGGGCGTTTAAGCTTCTGTCAAAGCCGTGTAATCCCACATACATACTGTGAGCACATGGCTGTAGTGAAGCTAGCCTGTGGAGATACCAGGCCTAACCGCGTGTATGGACTGACAGCAGCACTGCTGGTCATTGGGGTTGATCTGTTCTGCATTGGTTTCTCCTACGCCTTTATTGCACAAGCTGTTTTTCGCCTCTCATCTCAAGAAGCTCGGTCCAAGGCCCTAGGAACCTGTGGTTCCCATGTCTGTGTCATCCTAATCTCCTATACACCAGCCCTCTTCTCCTTTTTTACTCATCGCTTTGGCCACCATGTTCCACTCCATATTCACATTCTTTTGGCCAATGTCTATCTGCTCTTCCCGCCTGCTCTTAATCCTATGGTTTATGGAGTTAAGACCAAAGAGATTCGGGAAAAGGTTATCAAGGTGTTTGTAAAGGGGCAGGGAACTGGTGCCAAGGCATCTGAATGATCCAGGAATATAGAAGAGACTTAGTCCAAAAGAAAAGAAGATTTTCAAGATTAAATAATCCTCAGTATTTGAAATTGGAAAGAAGTTTTAATAGGGTGATGATGCCTTCTAGATCATACCCAAGATTGAAAAATCACAGAGGAGGTCAAATTGGTTCAGCATTTTTAACTTCCATCTAACAAAGCATAACCTTGGGAGAGTCTTCCATCTAGATTACAAGAGCTTCTGCATTGTCAAAGAAACTTTCCTTAGTTCCTGGCCCTCTCCCAACAAAGAGGCATAGATTTCTAACCTCCTATTTTAGGCTACAGCTGCTATTTTGCCATCTACAAGGATCAGAAGATGGCAAAAGAAATCAGAGCTACATGAGACCATAGGAAGCCTGAAACAGCAATCAGAAAGAATATATGCACCCCTTTGTTCATTGCAGTGCTATTAATAATGGCTAAAAACTAGATGGGTGGATGAAAAAGCTTTGGTACATTTACACAATGGAATACTATGCATATGTAAAAAAGAAGAATCTCTTAACTGTGACATATCATGGAGGAACCTAGAGAGTATTATGCTAAGCAAAATAAACTAGTTTTTTTTTTTGTATTATTTGTCATTATGGCATTTTACTTCCCAGTTTAACACACATGCAAGAAAAATAAATTAAAACTAAAAGTGGAGACCAGAGTACACTATTGTTTTGTCCAAGACTAATGAAGAGTATACAGAATAAATAAGCCTAATAAATGAGACATTTCCTGTAAACATATACTGAGCTTATACCCCAATAAGAGACAAGATTCATTCTTCTCAGGAAAATATAACACTTTAACCAAAACATCATGCTCTTATTAACGAGATCACACCATACCATTAACAAGCCTTATAAAGAGAAATAATATAAGCAAACTCATCAGGTAACCAACACCTTGGTTAAAGGATAAGGAGCCAACAAGTCTCAGCAAATTGTCATGCAACTATTGGAATGAAGGAAGGGGAGCTCAAAAACATAATAGGATTTCATTTTGAGGGGATAATCTGATAAAAATGTCATACAAGTTTTACATGCAAGTTTATTTATTATGTTTCTTTTAGAGGGACATGTAAGTGTAAGATTATGTTTAAATGAATTAAATGCAGCTATAATCTACTTTTATGTAATTCTAGTAACCCTGTTTTGGAATTATGTACATTTAAATGAAAATACCAGTCTATGTTATAATACTTTATGATCATCTTTGTTAATACAGGTATAATAAATATATATATAAATATATTTACATATATTTAATCAAGGTAAGATATTCTAAAAGTTACTTCTAAGTTATAGAATTATAAAAAATTTAGTAACCTTTAAAAGGATTAGCCAAAAATCATATATACAGAACACATAGACACAGACAACAGTGTGGTAATAGCTAGAGAGAAAGAGGGGTGGTGCCCATGTGGAGGTGGGCAGAGCAGGGTAAAACAGGGATGGCAAAAGACTTTATTTGGGGTGATGGGCACAAATGCACTGTGCAGATGATGTTTTATTAAGCTGTATACTTGAAACTTGGATGGTTTTTCAAACCAATGTCATTCCAATCGATACCAATAAAAGGGTAATATGCTAATTAGCCCAGGAGACCCTATGGGAGACATTCCAGATGTCCTTCCAGACAAAGCCATGGTGGCGGGCCAAGGCAGAGGCAGTTATGGGCATTCAGGCCAGGAGGGGATGGCATTTGGGGTTAATCAGGTTGCCAAGGAGGGACAGTTGTGGGCAAGAAGGCTGACGAGGGGGCAGATGGGGCTGAGCAGGTTGGCAGGCAGAGTGGTTAAGGGCAAACAGGCAGGCAGGCAGGTGAGCGATTAGGAGACCGAGGTCCCAGATTGCGAGAGGGATGTCTGACTGCTGGACACCTCCCGAGGGGTCCCAGATTCAAGAGGGTGCAGGCTGAGCTAAGGGACACCCCTCCCTATGTATGAATTTAATGCACTGGGCCAATAGGAAATTCAATAAAATAAAATACCTATCATCCCAAATTATTTAATATATGTCGGTATTACTTTTACCTATTTTAAATAGGTAAAAAATTAGAATCAGTTACTTTCTAAAATTATTGTTGTCATCATGATTATTATTTTAGTTTTTACATATTCATCTAATTTATTTACCAATGTGGAAATGCAAGAAGCCTAAACTTTTGATGTCTTTCATAACATTCATCATTTTCCTTCCTTGAAAGTAAGCCTTTTAAGTCAAGGGCCATATTTATGTCTTTCCTAGACTATTTTGGAGAGTAGAAAAAGCTCAATAAACATTAATTAAATGGAGAAATTAAATATTTAATTAAACATTAAAATAAAAATGAATCACTGTGTGAAGTTAAAATATTTCATATTTAAATGCTTTTGAGGAGAAACCACAGTGGTGGCATAGGTAAACACCTATATTTCTGCCTCGCACAACAATTTCAAAACTACAATTAAAATACAAAATGTCTATCATCCAGAACCACGGGAAAGCTAGCCGAGTGGAATTTCTACAACTAGAAGGAAAGAGAAAAGAGCATTGAGACATGCACAAGTGCTGAAAAGCTGAGGTATGGAGGTGTGCGAATCGGGTTGGTGGTGGGCAATTGGATGTGCTGCTTTTTTCCAACCCAAAGGGAGACAAGCTCCCAATTACTCCAAAATCCAGTTTCTGGGGCGATGGTGGGGACCCAAACTCCTATGGGTAGAAGCAGAACTGTCGGCCATCGGGTCGGAAAGTGAGGGGGACTTTTTTGCAAAGGTGTGCCCAGCAATTATTGTTTACTGTGCTGGGAGCTGGATGCGGGGACTTGGAAATGTGGAAACACACAGAAGGCTGACTGGCAGCCATAGCTGTTTGACATACCCTAGCCTAGTGATGCCCTGATATTCCGCCCGGCACAATCTACAAACCCACCCAAGCTCTGAGCAGCAGCTTTGGCATATAAATGGCCTGCCCTATCGCAGCTTAACCCAAACAAACTGCAGCTCTGGACACACAGCTCTAAAACATCCAAATATTTCCATATATACATGCTAACACACAAACATACACTCACATGTGTTTATTCACTTAAATATGTACCATTATTTGGGCATTAATAGTGGAAAGTTCTCTTTTCCTTCTCCCCATAGAGATTAGCTTGATCCCCACATCAACACCTGTATCTATGATACTTTGAATTAGCCCCTTAGGACACATAACACACATTTTCATTTAAAGGCTCAGTTCAATAGTACAGAAAACAAGGACGTTAGAGATTGGCAGCTACGCATGTACATTTATTCTAAAATTATGATTATTTTGACCAAGATCCTGAACATCTGGACCAGATTGAATTCAGCTCACTGTTTTGTTATCCTGAAACTAAGGTATTTAAAGCATACAAAAGAGAGGTTCATTGCCACATTTTGATAAGATAAAATGGAGAGGGTATTTGAATGTATACCAAATGCTTTTTTTCCCCCTCAGAAATAAATTCTTTATTTCATTCACACAATTTGAAGGCAGACATGTGTAAAATTGAGTGTTCCTGGAAAACATGTGCTTTCCAAAATATGGTACTAATTGCAGTCTACTATCGTACTGATCTTGACTGTATTATTTCTCTATTCAAACAGGAATCTTTATTTCAGTAGTGGTAAAAATCATGACAAGGAGAAATAGGAGAAAAGAAAATAGTTTTTGACTATTAGAGCAGTCTTCAGATTATCTTCGCTTCTTACCTGTCCCTACCTTATTCCTCAAAATTATAGTGCAGTCTCCCTTGATTATTTTCTGGAGAGACAGAGCTGTAACTCTAAGGTTGTAAGGCATGAAGAGAGGTCCTGGAAGAGCATACTTACTAACATGTTCAACCATGTTTACTTTCTATTTCCAAATCAAATTACTTTGGAAAATCTGAGCTGTGCTCTCTTGGTGTCACTTTATGCTGTAGAATTTTCCTTATACACTATCAGATGATGATTTTAAAATAGTCAATTTTATTAATGAAAGGTAGAATGACCATTTCTTCTGATGGAACACAGAACTCATTTAGTGGCATTCAATTTATTTCTATGATGTTAATTTTTGTAAGCAAGCCTCAATCACTGTTGGTCTGAGAATACACAAAATTTTAATTTTAACTTATTTCAATATGTCACTTTCATGGTAGCATTTTTGGGTCCTGTTTTCAAATATTTGCCTATTCCAAATATCAAAGAGAATGTGCTTTTTTGTATTTTATCTTTAGTTCAATATTTTTCTAAAATTGTTTTTGTATATGATATGATTTAGAGAACAAAATATGTTTCTTTTTCTTTCACATATACCGTATTTTTCGGACCATAAGACGCTCCGGACCATAAGACGCACCAGTTTTTAGAGAAGGGAAATGAAGAAAAAAAGATTCTGAAACAAATATTGTCCTAAAATATTTTATGTGCATTAAAACCCAACATCACAGTCATAAACACATGTAATCAACCCTGTAAAGTAAACAGCAGCATTTAGAACCATTTTAGAGCCGGGCAAGCACACAGAGACCACACAGAGCCGGGCAAGTAAAAAAACTTTTTTTTTAAAGTATATGTGTAGGCTATATTTGGACCATAAGACGCAGGGACTTTTTCCCCCCACTTCTAGGGGGAAAAAAGTGCATCTTATGGTCCAAAAAATACGGTATTAATTGGCTCAGTAATACTTATTGAAAATAACATTTTTTCCCTCCACAATGTTCAGTGTTCCCTTTGTCATAGATTAATGGTTTAATGTGCATATCAATATTTGGTTTGAGTCCTGTATTTCTTGCAAAAGCATTTTCATCCATATTTAAAAGGATGGACAATCTGTTTTTAAAGGAAGTCACATAGATATTCCATATGCTTATTTTAGGAATTGAAAAATGAGGTTAAGATCCATGTATTTCATTAAGATACTACTTTTTTTGAACTTCTGATCTTAGATAATTTGAGAGGCCAAAAAACACTCAAAGGTGTTAAGTGAA